TGATTGTACTAAGTAAGTGCTTCAAGGCTTTTTCACGGTGGCAAGTAAGGCTGAGTCATCTGCATCTTGAAGGTTGTTAACAAGTTTTCCTCCAAACCTAATCTACTTTCTTTTTTATGGTCCATTTTGTTGGATTATGGGATGTAAGCATAGATATTGAATAAGGATGATAAAAGAGTACAACTATGAATGGTATTAATTTTTTTTTTTACTTTAAACCACAAAGTATCCCTCTCTGTGTTTTTTTTTACCTTTAATTTATCCCACTTTATTTTTTTAATTGAGATTTTAATGGACGTTTATTGAGAACTTGGATTTCCATTCATTTTTGCTCTATGTACAGGTTCTACATGAACAGAACATCTGTGCAAACAGCAAATAAGATATCCAATGATATATTGCATAGGACATACAGCTAAAGGGAGCTACTGAAAAGATACCTTTAAAGTGTTAACAATGAGGGGGTTTTTCTTTTGCTTTTCAAGGAGAGGAGCAAATGGGGGGGGAGGGGGGAGGGGTTTGTGTGGGGAGAAGGGTGCAACAATGAATGAATGGAATCCCAAAATCTCTGTAGATGTTCATTGAAATGAAAAATAAACAACCTAAATTTAAAAAAAAAAAGTGTTAACATTTCTCATGGAAGGTAAACAGGGAGGGTGAAGGGAGAAAAATGAGTAAATAAATAATCTCCAGCCACCAAAATAGACTTAAACCTATAAACATATACAATTCAATAAAAAATTCAACTGTATTGATGATAGCACTTATATTTTGTATCAAAAATTACATAATTATAAAAAATGCAAGATATTATTTCTCAATTAAAAAAAATAAAAATAAAGTGCTAAAAACCATGATATCACTTTGAGGACTTAGTTGTACTTTATTTAAGTCTATGTTTTATTTGCTGTTTAGTTTTATTCATTCCATAAACCTGTGAAAGCAGGGCAATGAATAAGATGGAAAGAGACTGATGCATTTGCATATTTATAATATTGGCAAAGAATTCTGATTACCTTATGGATTGCCAACAAAAATGGAACCTCTGTCCTGGGAGAAGGACAGCCAGAATGCTCCCAAGGAGTGAGAATGGTAAGACTTTGTCTCGTGTACTTTGAACTTATTATCAAAGAGGAGCCAGTTGCTTGAAAAGGACACCATACTTGGAAAAGCATGTTGTTGTTAGGTGCTGTTGAGTTAATTATGACTCATAAGGACTCTATCAACAGCAGATCTTAACTCTTCCTATCCTGTGCTGTTCTCACCATCTCTGACATCCTCTAGTCCATTGCAACAGTCACTGTGTCAATCATCAGGTTGAGAGTTTTCTTCTCTTTCACTGATGCCCCTACCTATCCAAGCATGGTGCCCTTCTCCAAGAAATAGTCCCTCCTAACAACATTTTCAAAGTATGTGTGGCTAAGCTTTATCATCTTTGCCTCCAAGAAACACTCTGAATGCACTCTCTCTAAGACATACCTGTTTGTTCTTTTGACAGCTCATGGGATATTCCCAAAGAAAAGAACAGAGTTAGAAAAAAGAGAAAGATTCTTAGCACGATGGATTTGATTTATACAGTGGTTGCAACAATGATCGTGATGCTTACTTAGGACTGGGCAGCATCCTGTTCTATTGTACTTACAAGGTCCTTAATGATCAGAACCAACCCAAAGACCCCTAATACATCGCCTTTGAAAACACAGACATTTAGTAAATATTTGGGGAATTACATAAACAGAGTGTATGTTCCATGTTCTATTCAAGAGAGAAGAGATAATGATATGTACAAGAGAAACTTCAGAATCCAAAATTTAGAAACTTGATTTCTGACTTTCTAGATGATTTCTACCAAAACTGCTATATAGTGTTTCTAACAACACATTCAGGGAGGTCTGGTCACCTAGTGGGAAAGGAACTGAACTGCAATCCCAAAGGCATGGAGTTGAAATCCATCATCAGCTCCATGGGAGAAGGATGGACAATCTCAGCCCATTCAATTTACTGTCTCTGAAAACCTGGTGGAGGGTCAGCTATGGGTCAGTTCCAACTCTAAAGTACAAAATAACAACTATGACTTTTTCAGAGAGTTCTAGAGACTTAGGGCTTAAGGAGCTCTGCTGCCAACACAAAGGCAGGTGGTTCTAATTCACTAGGTGCTCTGTGGATGAAAGATGGACAATCTCCTCTGATGTGATTTACAGCCTCTGAAAAGCCACTAGAGGGTCAAATATGAGTTTATTTTCACTCAATAATAACAAAAATAACACATTCAAGCAACATTCTATTCAGATGATTATACATTATATATTCTGGGTAACTGTATGGGACAGCATTAAATTTGCAAGCAAGATGCTGAAAATAATTCAGAAATTCCATTTGTCAAAGAAAAGATGCATATATGACAGCCAGAGCTTATACAGAAGGTTATGTTATGAGAGAAAAATCATGAGTTCTTCTGACTTGTAGTATATCAAGAAGCCATCACAGTTATTGTGATACTTATACTCACAAAGCATTCACAAGGGAAGAATTGGACTAAGTATACTTAAACATTGCTCATAATATAATTGCTAGTTGTGTCTCACAGTAACTATAATAAATGCAAAAAGGATCTTTACCTAAATTTCCATATTTACATATGAAATCATGTGCTTTGTGTATACACCATACATATTGAGCCTTTAATGAAGTAAGCAGCTTTTTAAATTTTGTTCCAGATTTTGGATAAATCAATATGTATATTGCTATGTCTAGAGAAATCAGGTATTATCCTATTCTGACGTGACCTTTAATGCATAGACTAAATTCAAGATTGTGACTATCAGTATATATATCAGAGAAATTTGAGAACAGCTGAAAATGGGACTAAAATTATGGGAAAGGAGAAGTAGATTGTATCAACAATATGAGAAAGAAGCTTATAATTGAACATTGATGGATGCAGTATGTCAAAATGATTTGGTAAAGATTTCCAAATGAGACAGATTATAGAGAGTTCCAAATTAGAAACAGAACGTAGTGAGTGAATAAAACTACTGATGAAAGAATTAGTTCTTTGTCTTCTGATGCCATTCAACTGGAGGAACTATGAAACATTTCCTGGCACTTCCCCACCAAGTCAGTATGACATAATTTAGAAATAGCTTCAGAATTGTGGAATGAGATATTAAGTTAAAGCTTTTAGTTTAGTTCGCCATGCTACAATATTTACTAGACCCATGTTGATCCAGGTCATGTCAGTGATGCTCCCTCAGACTCTTTCATGGTGGTGGAGTTGGAACCGACTTTCTAGTGGGTTTTCGAGGTTGTAAATCTCACAGAGATGTCTTATCTTTCTCCTGAACTTAAGATTTACAAAACCCATTATAACACAAAATGACTGAACACAAAAAGATGTCAAAAGCTAAAATGCCATAATTTGTTCCATTTCCAATGCAAAATGGGGTGGAGACATCTGCCCAGTTGCTCTTTATCCTGCAGGCTCTAATTAGATCTCCTTTGTGTTGTAAGAGTGGCCACTAGAATTTCTTTCTATTAGTTAACTCACAGATTTCTATTTAATAAGACCTGTGTCCCTATATCCCTCTATTATAAGTGGGTTGTCTTTCATTTTCTATTTTTATAATCTGCCTTTGTGAAAATTGAGTTCAAAGCCCACATCAATATCAATGATGTTTTCTTTGACTTCTCTTACTGCTTCATTCCCTTGACCTTTCCTTCAGGACAACTAACTCCTCCAACTCATCTCATCCTTTTATCCAGTAACAGCCTGCAGACCAGACTACTCTGCCTGTGTGCTTTAAATCCTCCCTATGCTTCCATCCTTCTAAAAGCAGCCCAAGCAAGTCCTCTCCCATCATTTAGATGATTAAAGTAATAGAAATATTCACCATTAAATCCTAAAAAGCCAAACCCACTGATAATCTTCCTTTGACTCCAGTTGATAAGAACTCCCTTGGAAGTATCTCATAGATGATTTAAACGCTTTATCATACAGTTGATGTAATGTTACTGCTGTTGTTGTTGTTGCTCTGTTATTCAGTCTTCCATGATATATGCTAAGGAAGTTTGTTAGCTTTTTCATGGGAACACTGCCTTGGGAGACAGAATTTAGAGAATCATTTTGATGTTACAATAAATCTAAAAGTGAAGCTAAAAGAACCTCCTGAGTAAAAATACAATTTTTTACATAACTTATTATTCAAATTATTGACATTTTATGCTTTTACTCTCTCATTGCCATTTACTCAGAACTGACTTGTAACTGACTCTCCTTTGAGTTTCTGAGGCTCCAAATCACATGGGGACAGATTACCCATCTTTCTTCCCTAGAACTGCTGGTGAATTTGATTCATCAGAGTTGTGTGGCCTTGGGATTAGCAGCACAACTCTTTATGAACTAGATGATAGAGCTCCCATATTGACATATACTGTTATTGTTGTGTACCGTGGAGTTGTAATTGAGACATAGATGACCCTCCAGTGGGTTTTCAGAGGTACTTAATCAAATGAGAGGAGACTGCCCATCCTTCTCCCAAGGAGCAGCTGGTGGACTTGAACCATGTGGCATATAGGAAGTATTTTATTTATATCTGTATTCATATGTGTGTATACAAAACATAAACCAAGTCCATTGCCTTCAAGTTGATTGTGATGCACAATGACTCTCCACTGGGTTTCTGAGGCTGTAAATCTTTACAGGAAGGAACTGCATATATTCATGCTCTGGATTTGAGCCACTGAACTGAACTTTCATCTTGCAGCCTAAAAGGCAATGCAGTATAATACCAGGGTTCCTAGTATGTATGTATGGTATGTGTACACACACACACACACACACACACACACACACACATAATAGCAAAAGTGTGGAATAAATGTAGTTTATAAATGAAACAAATTTAGTGCAACTTTCATTTCTAGACAGCTAAGTAATTATATTTCTACTAATCACAAACTTTAAGTGAATACCATGGTTTGAACATGCATTTATAAATTACCTCCTCTTTCTTTTTTTCACGTCCTCTCTGGACAAACCAGACGACTTTGGCGTGTAAAGATCGTGGAGTACATTCCAACAACGTGCTGTTGTTTTCTATGCCATAGGCCAGACGCTCTTCAGTCTTATCCAAAGCATCTCCTACAACATGAAATGTTAACATCAGCCTCCAGGCTTGTTTTTTAAGTTCTTTATTGATATCTTTGAAGCAAAGCAAATAACTATTATTACTTATAATCAATATGCTAATTCACATTCTAAATGTTATTTAGAAAGGAAAGCCTAGATAAATCTGGGTATCAAGAAGATAAGCCGGTTGGGAGAGGGCCAAAAAGTTACTAGGAATTTGGCTACCTATAAATGGGTAAGTTACAGACATGATGAAAGTGGATTAGTGTGAAACATATAGAGCACAATGGAAATATCCACTTATAAAGTAGGGAATAGAAGGTAGGCATCAAAAGTTCAGCCAAGGCAAAGGATCGAATCATGCTTACAAACATATGCAGAAAACAGTTCTGAGTTATAGTGTATGGCTTAAATGAGGACATGAAAAATACCTTGATAGGGGATTACACTTATTTACATATTTATCCCCAGGATTAAATAGAAAGTATAAAATATTTATTCTAGGTTATGATTCATATATATTTTGCCAAAAAGGTTCTCATTATACTTCAACACAAATTGGTACAAAAGCAAGTACATGTAACCACAGTGAGTGGAAAAAAACAAATGAGTTCATTCTTAATTATTAACTGAATATCTGATTTCCTCCTCAAGTCTGATCCTTATATTTAAAGAGGATATCTAAAATTCCCAAGATAAATATTCTTTCTCATGATGTTCCAGAAACTTGAGTGAGTACTTCACTGAATTCTGAGTCAGCCTGGAGGCTAGCAGCCAAATCCAATAACTAGACCTCAACTTTTGGATTTATAAAAGCTACTTCTGGTCACCCCATTGTAGCAACTAGAACTTCTACTTGTTACTTTTTGGAGAAACTTGTTCCTCTAACCACAGTCTCCTCACAAACTATCATCACCATATTCTGAAAGTCCAGAACTATGTTTTCCTTTCTTTGAAATTCTTCTGTTTCCCCCAAAGCTATTTTTTTTCATCCTTTATATATCAAACCACCTACTACACTTTCTTTCACTCCCACATTGTATCATCAATCCTGGTCTAGGCATTTTGTTGTCGTTGTTATGTTCTCCAGTTGCTTGAGACTCATAGCAATTCTATGTACAACAGCTCTGAACCTTGCCCTATCTTGAGCCAATTTCATTGTTTCCAACACACCTACCACACATTATCCCAGTCATTGAGTCAATCCATCTCATCTAAGATCTTCCTCTCTTGTTCTGTCCCTCCACCCTTCCAAACATGATGTCCTTCTTTAAGAACTGGTCCCTCCTGGCAACATGCCCAAAGAATATGAGATGGGGCTTCAAATCCTTGCTTCCAAGGAGCAGCCTGGTTTCACTCTCTCCTGTAGTTCATGGTATACTCAATATCCTTCTCCAGTACCACAACTCAAAGACATTGATTATTCTATTAACATTAGTTATCGTCCAGCTCTCTGATGTGTAACAAGTAATAATCTTTAGTCATTTTCCAACTCTTTGATGGGTAACAAGTAATTATGAAGATTATGCCTTGGACGAGGTGCACCTTAGTCTCTAGACCAGCATTGTTGCTCTTCAGTACTCTGGAGAGGTCCTTGACAACAAACTTTCCCAGTGTAGTTCATGTTTTAATTTCCTGGCTACTGATACCAAAAGTGTTGATTGTGGAGCCAAGCAAGCTGAAGTTGTTAACAACCTCAGTCTCTTCACCTTCTATCATAATGCCGGTAATTGACTCAGTGATGAGAATCTTTGTTTTCTTGATGTTGAGCTTCAATTCATTTTGATGGCTGTAGTTCTGACCTTCTGCAGCGAACATTTCATGCTATCCTCAGTTTCAGCAAGCAAAATTGTGTCATCTGTATGACACAGTTTGTTGCTAAGTCTTGCTCCAATCCTAATGTCACATTCCTCCTTATAAAGTCCACCTACTCAGATGATTTGTGCTGCTGATAGATTATAAAAGTATGGAGATAGGATGCTTCCCTGGTGTATACATTTTCTGATTTTGAACCATGCAGTGCTTCCTTGTTCTGTTCTCCAAACACAGCATGTGACTTAGATACAAGTTACATCACTCTGTCAATTATATAACACAGTGAACAAATTCCCAGACATGAGACAGAGGAAGAAATATTGTAGAATAACTCCCTAAAGCACAGAGCCTTCTCTTCTCATTCTGATCCTTCTGCTTTGAGATCTAATATGAAATCTTAGAGGTAGTATGTAAAACACAGTTTGGTCATTAAATGACATGTCAATCCAGAAGTCTTAAACACATAGAAGAGAGAGAATCATTTCAGTGACATAGTTGTAGTAGATATCAATCACAAAGGAAAGAAGGGCCTTCTTGAAAAGACTGAAGTTTATCTGCAATGCATGCTTTAGCCCATAACAATCGATTCTCTATGGATTACCAACAAACTGCTGTCCAAAGCACTGCTGGGCTGCATTCCCATGCCGAACGTCTTGTCTGCGGAACCGCCTGAAAAAAGAATGCAAATGCATTTAAGAGATGTTCAGATTTCGATTTTCCAGACTTTAAAATCTAGCAGACAGTATTAAAGACTCAAGTAGTGTTCTGCTACTGTAAAAATTGATTAGTCACACCAAACAAGGATGAAATCCAACTTTCATAGTCTTCTCTGTTTCCATTACATATTTTTCAATGGTTAAAAGGTGTAGAACTGTTCTTTCAATGTTTATTTAAGTTAGAATTCTAAATTTGGGATAATTTAAGGTTACCTTTCTAGCTTATTAAAGATTTGGTTCAAAAAAAGGTGATAATGTTTGTTCAGTTGGGCGTTTTTTTGTTTGGTTTTTTTTTTTTTGTGGGGTGCGGGGTTCTTGTTCATTATTTAACTTAAAATGAGTATCCTGTGCAGCAGGGTGCTCTGATGGCCTAGTGGTAAGAAACTTTCCTGCAAACCTAGGAGCATATGGTTTGAATCCACCAGCTTTTCTGCAGGTAAAGGGTGGACAATCTCCTCTTGTGAGATTTACTGTCTCTGGAAACCTGCTAAAGGGTCAGCCATGGTGCAGTTCTGATCCAGTGGTCAACAACAACAACAACAACAACAACAACAACAACATCATGTGCAGTGAGGAATATGTAGAGATAAAGAGAGTGATATTTGAGAAAGAACATTTTCTTTTTGATAAAATTATCATAAAACATTTAAATAAGAATAAAATACTCATGAAAAAAAAAACATTTTAAACGATAAACATTCTGGTTTACAGCCATCATAATCAACCATCAAAAACATAGTGGCTGATGAAAAGAAGGAAACTAATTACGTACTCATCTGGTGGCATAATGAGTTGTTCTGCTAGTCCAAAGGTGGTGTATCTTTGGAACTTGGAATCCAGTGGCTCTGCAATATCTACGTGTGATTTACAGTCTCTGAAAAAGTACTGCAGGTTCAGTGGTGAGTCTGTCTCTACTGGACAACAATGAGTTTAAGCTTTTGAGTTATTTTTTTCAGATATTATAATGTTCCAAAATAATATGCTCTACTCAATGTGATCGTACTATATAAGCTTATAAATGCCTCAAATATAGCTACAAAAAATAGTTCTTAAAATATTAGGAATTTCTCACACCCTTTCAATGGTCTCAATCTGCTAGCCTATTGAAATTAGTATTATTTCTAGCTATATTTTAGGGAAGTTTTTTAAAAATATATAATCTAAAAAAAACAAAAGTCTGTACGTATGGAAAAAAATACATATTTTAAATTTCTATGTGACCATCTGAGGAATTCAATAACAATGGAAATTACTATTGTACAATTTGGGATTCTTAAATGTATACCTTCATCATACATAATTAAAATGAAAGATAAAGCCAGAAATATTAATAAAAGATAATTCCATTGCTTCTCATAGAATATCCTCAATATTGACATAAAAACAGAAAACTGTATGTTACTAATAGTTTAAAAATAAGCTAAAAGCTTAGCCCTTAAAGAAGACAGTGAGGCTTCCACAGTGAGAAAAATGATGAGTCAGTGAGATCATATATAAGCTTCATAGCTGAAACGTTTAGAAGGCGTCATATTAAAATCCCAGTGTCATAACACACATGCTGTGCAATCTTACGCAAATTTCTTCCTTTGTGAAATGAAGACAGACAAAATTATTCATTCAATTATTTTTTTTCATTCTAGGTTTTCCCTGCTACCTTCAAATAATAAAATTAAAATGTTATCTCAAGGAGTAACATGCTTGCACAAGTGTGAGTTCAGATCTTATTTCAGTCAACAATTGTTTAAGTGTTTTCTTCTCCTGAAAGCTAAGGCAGATGGTCTCTTTCAAACTTTCAGGACTGTGACCTTGTGCAGAAGCAGGTTTTGTATTTATTTGTTTGTTTAATATAGAGAGTGACAACTAGGCAACTTTAAAGGCCTGGCTTTCCATGGCTAGTATTAAAATTGTTACATGAACTGTTCTATTTAGCTAGATGAAAATTATAGTCTATATAAAAAGAGAAAAAGTAGAGGTAAGCTTTATGCTTCCGTTTGATTTTACAATAGAAAGTACAGCTATTATAGAGCTGATAACATATCTAGATGAGAATTAAGCCACCACTATTGTCAATTTTTCACTATGCTATGCATAATGTAGGAAGAATGAAATCAATGAAATAGGAAATAGTTTCCATTTTGCAAGGAGACTGCTGTGTAAAATTTACCAGTTAAGTGATGTGTGAACAAAGCAAACTGCTGTCAGATCATTCTAAAACTGTGAGGTGGAGAAATAAGCAATGTGAACAATCAGCTAAACAGGGGAAAATCATCATTTAAATTAGAATTTTTCATTTTAAAAAGAAAGAAAAGGACTCTTTGGGCAGGTTTTAGAATCAATTTATGCTATTCACACACGTTACTTCAGCATTAAAAATAATAGAAAACATTAAGATCAAGAGTTGGAATAAAATTGATCAGTCACTTTTCAAAGTAATACATCTTTGTGACATCTCTGGGTTTTTAAAACTTTTCCCAGAGAACACTGGATATAGACATAAGGTAGCAAACAGCAAGAGAAAGAAAAAGACCCAGATCTATAAATGATAGTATACTTTGGAAGACCATTTAAAACAAGTGGATTGGGTTGTGGATTAATATTTCCCCTTGTTAACTCATTTTAGCTCTGTGAACAGAAAAGTATTTATTTTAGTAAGCAGCTTTGAATTTCTGCTTCTAGTCAAGTCTGCAGCAAAAATGACCTGCTATAAAAGCAAACTATTCTTCCTTCACGGGTTGGAACGTATCCAAAAAGTTATCCTCCAGGGGTGGTGACGGTTCAAAAGAATCGGACACCACTGAAAGATCTCCATTACATGTCAGTGAACTGAACTAATTCATTTATGAACACAGATCCTGACTCCAGCATTTCACCCCTTCCTGTCTTGCCCATTCATTTAACTCTCTGCAAATAATGCTTTTCGTCACCTCTTTTAAATATCTTGGCAAGTTTGTGTTTCTCTAATCTTACAAAATGAACCACGTACTGTGAATATTTCATTGTAGAAACAGTTCTGCCAAAATTCATCATCCCTATGCAAGCATAGTTGAAAACCACCGTTACCGACATACTTGGTACTAAGCTTGTGGCCATTATTATTGTTGTTGCTAATAATAGTAGAATAATATAGTTTATTATTTTGAGTAATACCGTCTTGCCATGCTCAGATCCTGCTACCCTAATCCTGATACATGGAACCTCACAGTTGTTTCTTAACATTTTATGCCTTTTTAATAGGTATTTATCTTTAATTGGAAGCTCCTTATTTCTCTCCTGTTAATATGAAGTTAAAAAGATGAGTTCTTTTGAGACGTGAATGACGTAGTATGCATTATGTTACCATCCTCTTATTAAATCATTTCTACAAAGAAATTATCATTTTCATGTCAATTCAGTGAAGTCAAATTAACACAAAAATTTGGATTACTGTTGTTTTTCTTTTTCTTTTTAATTTAATGAGCACCTACCATAGTAGATGTGACATATATATAACAAGTATAGAGTGTCTCAGATTTGATTTTAGAAAGGATTAAGAGTCCAAAGTTGAATAACAAGAAAAAATTAATACAAACCAATTTCAAGTAGGGAAATGGTGTGCAGTTTTATGTTTTTGCTTTATATTACTTTTGATCATCTTATTAGTGGAAGAAAGAATTTCAATTCTGAAAGGAGTGGAACCATTTCTCCCTTATGTATCCAAGTATACACATCATTCTAAGACTTGAGCGGAGGAATAGCTTATATCTTCTTCCTCTCAAGATCTTGCGTTCAAAGGAACTTAGGATTTACATTCTCTAACAAATGGCAATGACCTCTCTGGATTGGGGATGTTGGAGTTTTGAGGTCTTTAAGTGTTTTTCATTTGTGTTGAATTAAATCACACGTTTCATTAATTATACAGGTCATACATTTGCCTAGGAGTTAAAATATTCACTTTCAAAATGAAATAAATGAAGACCAGCTGGGAGGAAAGACACTGGGCAAAGGCAGGATGTATTTAAGAGTTTATTTATTTATTTTCCTTTTAAGTATTTGAATCCCTTGCGTGTGTGTGGTGGCTTTCCATTTTCACATTTTACATTAATCTGAACTCATTTCATGTCTTGGGGCAGAAGTTTCTGAAGGGGAGCATTTGATCTAAACCTGGGTGGAAAAATAAAGGTCCAACTTCATGCTCTGCTTAGGTCTCTGCATTCAAAAAATAGTGAACTTGTTTTCAAGTAAATTTCAAATTTTCAGAGTATAATTGTAATTCAACATAAGGTTACAGTGGGAAACTTATGTGCAAAAGATTAGATATTTTTTTTCTGATGGAACTTATTCTTGGCATGCATATGGGACTATCTTTGTATACCTTTTTCTCCAAATACGCAGGCTCACAAAAAAAAAATTCACATCTTTAAAAACTCATAAATACTGAAGAGACTAACCAGTAAACTCCCAAAACATCACTAGTTGATCCCAACATTGCTCTGCAGTTCTCACTGTTGTTCATCTGCTCCAGGGCGTCTGGCAGCAACAGCAACACTACACTGCTGGTCTATCAAAAATTCAGTATCATTTTACTTATATTTTTATACAAAGTGATATAATGAAATCATCTGATACTGAAAGAACTGTACTGTTTCTCAAAGTAATACTTTATAGGTAGTTACTGTTGGAAGAATTGAGAAACAAGTTCCAAGAATGCTAACTTAATATGATTTTCTCTTCAATTAAAAAATTCTTCTAAGCTCCTTTGTTTCCCTGGTTTTCTATTCCATTTGTGAATAGTATATATCTGCTATCTACCCCAAAGTTTGTCATTATTATTTTCTTTTTATCATTTACTTACATTTCTTCTTATCCAGAAGACTACTCCTATATCTCTGGGTTATATATAACAATATAATCTAGCGAATTTAGTAATACATTTATATGGACAAAACAGACAAGTCAAGAGCACAGTATATCAAATTTTAATTAGGCAAAATACATGAAATTGATTTTTTTCTTTTAGAATGCAGTATTTCTCTAACAAGCCTTTTAGTAAGTAAAAAGCATTTGGAAAAACATAAGCAAAACATTGAATGTGCTGCTTTTATTGAAGTAAAATTAATGTGGCTGTTTTTCTAGACTGATGTAGAAGAAACAGAATTAAGTAAGGCTTTCTCCCATTATGAACCTATCCCACCAAGCCCCCTGTCTCACCTTTTTGCATGTGCGCCCGTTGGGTAGTAACGGGAACAGGATATGCCATCCCAGGCACAGTAAGGATCTCGAGCCAGGCAGCAGTCAGCACAAGCACTTCCGTACATGTCACAGTGATGGAATTTGACTTGAGCCACGGCATCATCAGATCCAACATATAGTTGTTGCTATAGAAACCGAAGAAAGACGGAACTAGTCAGCACAAGCACTTCCGTACATGTCACAGTGATGGAATTTGACTTGAGCCACGGCATCATCAGATCCAACATACAGTTGTTGCTATCGAAACCGAAGAAGGACGGAACTAGCATAAATAAGTAAACTTTTCACTGACTTGTTTATTGTTACCACTATACATATTCATTTCAATTGCAGCAGTTGTTCAGGATAAACAATGAGCCATTGACATTTGCATTTCTTCAACATTTTATATACTTTAATAAGCTTAGATATTGGTTGCTTTTTGATGCTCTTGAGTTGGCTCTGGCTCATAACTACTCTATGAATGAAAGAATAAAACTTCATGTGATTCTGCACCATCTTCTCCGTATAGTGCCGTACAGCTCTGTGTTGCAGTCACTCTATCTTACTGTGGGTCCTCCTTTTCTTGATCCTCCATTTTTCTGAGCATGAAGTATTTTTCCAGGAACTGTCATCTTCTGATGAAATGATGTAAATATGTGACATGAAGTCTTACCATCCTTGGCGTCCAAGAAACACACCAGTTGCACTTCTAAGATGTGTTTATTTTTTGGCCATTCATACTGATATAAATTCAATATACACCACTAAGAGCATAACTTAATTAGAACTTAAATACCAAACTCAAACACAGAGCTGAGTCAGGATGGAGCCATATCTGACTCTGCAGTGGATTCCCAAGGCTGTTATCACAAGGGAGGAGATTGCCATCTTTCTCCTGCAGAGCAGCTGCAGATTTCAGCTGTCAGAGAGGAGTGGCTGTTACCTTAGCATCCCAGCTCCCAAAGCCATAAGAGCTCCCTAAACCAAACTGCAGAATCATCAAAATTGTCAAATTGAGCTTGACAAGAATAACAGATACCGTCTAGTCTCTACACATTATCTAAGTAGAAGTCTTTTGCATCATATAACGTTGTGTGTCTGGACTAAAGATCCTGATTGTTGTTTGATACTGTCAAATTGGAGCTGACTCATAGTTGACCCTCTACTGGATTTTCAGAGGTAGTAATCATACAAGAGGAGATTGTCGATCTTCCTCGTATGAAGGACTTGGTGGATTTGAACTGCATACCTTTGGGTTGACAGCATAACTCCTTACCACTAGGTCATCAGAGTTCTAGGAATGCTCAATAGGACACTGACTGAATCAATTATCCTTTTTTGCTGTTTTTGTTATGGGCCTTCAAGTCAGAACTGACTCAAAGGTGATTATCCAGTGGGTTTTCAAAGGTTATAAACTGCACAGTAGGATATTACTCATCTTTCTCTCACAGATCTGCTGGTGGGTTTGAACTGACTGCATTTGGGTTGTCAGCACTGTTCTTAACTCACCAAAGATCCAGTTGATCTTTTAAATCTTGATATGGAATGCATGTTGATATAATGAGACTGTTGTTGTGTACTGTTGAGTCAGAGCTGACCCATAGTTGACCCTCTGGCAGTTTTCTGAGGCAGTTAATCACATAGGAGATTTCCCATCCTTCTCCCACAGAGCAGCTGGTGGCCTCATGGTGCATGCCTTTGGGATTGGAGTGCAGCTTCTTGCCATTAGACCACCAGAGATCCCATAATTAGATAAGATACTGGACAAAGTTGTTGGTTCAATCCTATCTAGAAGTAGTTTAAAAGTAAAGTCTGGCTTCCAAATATTTACAGCTTCGAAAACTCTATGGAGTAGTTCTATTCTGAATGTATGAGGTTCTCACGAGTAGGAATATACTAGATAGGCACCCAAAATAGCAATCAAAAATGATGTGGAAAGAACTGTGAGATATATTATTCAGTAGCAATGATGAACTGTGGAATCCTTTTTGTAATATCATTTGTCTAAACAAAAAAAAAGGTTTTATAAGTAAATTTAAGTCATTTATACAATAACTGCTTCTACAGAATGCTGCATTAGAAGCTATTTTCAGTAAAAGAGCAAACTTCTGTCTTACTGTACAATTTTTAGGACTACTATCATTTGTTCAAAACCAAATGAAAAGTAGCTGAAAGTACCTAGACTATCGACTATTATGTCTTTAGAAATAAATTACTTGTGCCTTTCTTTCTAGAACTAGAAGGTGAAGAAATCTGTAAAATTAATTTTACTATACACTTTCATCTGTGGCTGACTCTGAGAAGAATGGGAATCCCAGAACACTTGATCGTTCTAATGTGAAACCTACACTTGGACCAGGAGGCAGTCATCAGAACAGAGCAAGGAAACACTGCATGGT